TTTTGCAACTGTGCCAAACAGCACAGATCTACTGAGTTTGGTCGATCAGTCTTCTCTGATAGAGCTACAAACTGTAGTGGAAATCAGTCCTAAGTGAGATAAGACAGCAACAGCTTTGTTGGTTTTAAATTTAAGATGAAATCATGGCTAAAATCTATGGAAGCGTATTGCATTCACTTGACAAATAAAAAAAGCCCTGTTTTTCTTAGTAATGTTTTCTGTTTTTCTAAGTAATTTATTAATTTTTCTGTTTTTTGGTGTATTTTTTTTCTGTTTTTCTGAGTAATATTTTCTGTTTTTCTGAGTATTTTTTTCCCTGTTTTTCTGAGTAATATTTTCTGTTTTTCTGAGTATTTTTTTCCCTGTTTTTCGTGGTAATTTTTTTCTGTTTTTTGTGATAATTTTTTTTCCTGAACGAGGAGACAAGATACTTAAAAATCTCGCAAGAAGCTCCCACCTGGCACCTGCAAGTGACCCCTGCATCCGTGGTGACTCCTGCTCATGGATGTATTTTGCATCTGTGCTCCTGCTCCTAGACAATTTCAGTTACGGGATCAATAAGGGTAAGGCACGTAATTAGTTACACACAGGGTATGATAATGATAAAGCTATGTTTTTGATTGCATATTACTCCGAAAAACAAAAAAAATTACTCAGAAAGACAGGGCTTTTTTTATTTGTCAAGTGAATGCAATAAACTTTCGTAAAAATCGACCCAATCATGTACCCATCACACATGAACTCAAACACTTGATCTTAAATTATGAAATCTTGTTATATCTTGTAGTTGTACTCATATTGCTGTTGTTTTTGTTGCAATGATTTGATGTTGTGTTGTCTTGCTATTGTTATTGCTGATGCAGTTGTGTCATGTTCTATTTTGTAGTTGTGTTTTTTATATAATAGTGTCTTTTAGCAGAGAAATTATTCTCTGTTTCCTGCCCAGGGACTACAGATGATGTAGGTTTAGCTAAGTAGCTGTGCAATGTCCCTATTAAATTAACAAATAAATAATCTAACTCGCAAAATGTCACCTACTGTGCAACTTTAATAGATTTCTCATGCTGTTTCACAGAAGTCAACACAATGTGTGAATCATATAGATATAATCTTTAAAAAGTCCATCACACCAGTTATAAATAAACTTAAAGAAACAGTGTGTAGTAACATGAAGTGGTGAGGATTGTGAATTGCAACCTGCTGAGACTTCTCCTGGTTAGATTTCCTTCAGTGTTCAATGTTCAGGAGGTTTTTACCAGGAGCTCCAAAGCAAACAGGCCAGGTGACTTAAACCTGTAAAAACACTGGATGAAGCAGTGTCATGTTAAAATAAATCATAGCTTTTCTGTCACTCTCGTGCAGATAAGCTTCAAACTACACTGGCCAGTGTGAAAACACAAATGGCCCTATCTAGAGCAAGTATTTGGTTTGTCCATTCTGGGCTACTGTAGAAACATGATGGTGCAACACTGTAATCTCTGAAGAAGAGAACCAGTTTCTTATTTGCAGGTAACATACTTACTATATTAAATTCATTTTTTTTAGCCAATATATCCACTTGAATGCTACACACTGGACGTTTAAAGACATCTGTCACTTTAATTTCAGCTTCAAGTTCATGTCATTTCCCATCTGTGGAATGCATAAAGTTCTTTTTATATAAAAATCCACAGGCTGTACTTTTATGGGTAATCCACTTCCCTGTCCCTTACACTTTCATATCAGCAGGCTGGTTTTGATGTCATTTCACATCAGCAGGATTCTGGAATAAAGAAAAACAACTGTTTACCAACAAACACATACAAAAAAATCTGAATGTCTTGTACAAGAGGAGAGGTTATTTATAGTCGGTGACGCTGGGGGAATAGAGTGACTTACACAAATCAGCTTTATGCTGTCATTTCCTCACATCTCAAAGTGAAATATCCAGACATGCTTGATGTATTCTCTTTGAATGTTTTGACAAGAGTCAGAGTGTGGTGCACAAGAAAGTTAACATCTCAATTTGACATTACGTGAAGTGTTATGACCAGAGTTGAGAGGTTTTGGTTGCAGTGCAGCTCTGAGCATCTGAGCATCTGAGAATTGATGATTTAACGTGTCAAACTGTTTCAGGTTCATAATTCTAAAGTGCTACAATCAGAAAAGTAAAGTTCATGAATGTGTGCGTAATTTGATTTAAAGGTAACGCTAGGATTCAGAACCCACAGATCAACCATGTTCTAATCAGAAATTTTGCGTCATTGTACTTCATTCAGCCAACTAATCTGAAAGAAACTCTACTTCACCTACAAAAGCACTGCCACTCTCTTGTTGCTGCTCTTTCTTTTGTTTGTTGTTTTCCCTTTCATCACAATTCAAAAGGATTTAAGGAGGTGTGGAAGTTTGTTCTGCAGCTCCCTCAGGATAAGAGCTGTTTCAGCAAGACAACACAAAACTCCAGCAGCCTAAAAAGAACAGAAAGCAATGGGCGGAGGGTTTCTTGTGAGATGAGCAGCTCCTACGAGTTGAATACTGTTGAAAGACTGACTTGTTTCATGGCTGTTTTAAGATTACAAAGAAAACGGAATGATTAACACATTTTCTTTTGATAAATGTTGGGTGAAAAAGAAAGAACAGAATTCAGAGCCAGGACAAAAAAAGAACCAGAAAGTTGGTACAGTCTGTTTACTGTTATGGCACAATGGAGACCTGCCTCTGTGCATAGGCAGGTAGTATGTGGGCTCCTTCTGGTTGTCACTGTGCAGCCTCAGGGAATGGATGCTCCTGTTTATATCTGCACATATCGTTTTTTTCAGACTCACAAACAATATCCATGCTGACTGTTGCTCCTACCTTGGTTTAATGCATCTCAATGCTTACAGCAAGCCTTCTACCTAATGATTTCACTTAAAACAAATACCTGTAAGGGTACATGGTAAGTTTTGAATATCAGTTGTATAATTAATAGATAATTTACCTAAGTAAAAGGAGCTAGAACACAGTGTATAAAAACAACATGACAAGTAAGAGTCCTGTATTCACAGTTTTATTTCATAAAAAGCACAGACGTACCGCCATCAACAACTATACTTAAGCTATCAAAAGTAAGAGTAGTCATGATGCAGAAGAATGGCCACTGTCAGTGTTATATTATTACATCTATTATTACTGAATTAATACGGACTTGGAGAAGGCTTATGACTGTGTTTCTCTGGGAGTCTTGTGAGGGGCACTGCTGGATTATGGGGTACTGGGTCATTGAGACGAGCCATCCAGTCCCTGTATGACCAAAGTTAGAGCTGCGTCCACATACTTGGCCAGGGTTGTCCCTTGTTACTGATCCTCTTTGAGATATCCATGGATAGGATCTCGAGGCGCAGCAGGGTGGTGGAAGGGGTCTGGTTTGGGAACCTCAGAACTGGATCTCTACTTTTGCAGATGATGTGGTTCTGTTGGCGTCATCACTCTGTGATCTCTAGCGTGCACTGGGGCGGTTTGCAGCTGAGTGTGAAGTGGTCAGGATGAGAGTCAGCACCTCCATATCTATGGCCATGGTTCTCTGCTGGAAACTGGTGCATTGGGAGAGAGTTACTGCCTCAAGTGAGGGAGTTCAAGTATTTCAGGGTCTTGTTCACAAGTGAGGGTAGAATGGAGCGTGAGATGGATTGCCGCTGTACTGGACTGTTGTGGTGAAGAAGGAGCTGAGCAGAAAGGGGAAGCTTTTGATTCACTGGTCCATCTACGTCCCATTCCTCACCTATGGTCATGAGCTCTGGGTAATGACTGAAATAATGAGATTGTGGATACAAGTGCCCGAAATGAGAGCTGCTGCTCCTTTGTGTCAAAAGGGGTCAGTTGAGGTGGTTCATGCATCTGATCAGGATCCTCCTGTGCCTCCCGTTAGGTTTTCCAGGCATGTCCCACTGGTAGGAGGCCCTGAGGCAGACAGAACACGCTAGAGGGATTATTTATCTCATCTGGCCTGGGAACACGTTGGGGTCCCCCAGGAGGAGCTGGAAAGTGATTTTGGGGAGAGGGACGTCTGGGGTGCTTTGCTTGGCCTGCTGCCCCCGTGAGAGATAAGTGGACAAATGGTTTAATATACTGATGCATAAACATGTAAGCAGCATTTCAGTGTTGTAGCTGCTTAAGTTAAATTTTAACCAGGCTACTTTATATATTGTTGGGCCGTTTAACCTTAAAAAAATCCTTCTATTTTATAAATAATTTATGTGTTTTGGGATACAGATAGAATACATACATACATACACTGACAGATAGATGTACTTTGCTGATCCCAAACTGGGGGATAAAGGCTTTGCAGGGGAGCAGTAAAAAGACAGTAATACACATATCACACTAATATCTATACAATACAAAGAAAATAAAAAGTATAATGTAATAAACAGTAAAATAAGATAAGATATACTTTATTGATCCCCTAGGGGGGAAAATTCAAGTATCACAGCAGCACAAGACTAAATCAAAGGACATTAAATACAATAAGATTAAAGAGAACAAATAGAATGTAAAAATTAAAGATAATAATAGATAAAAAAAAGATAAAATAAAATTGCTACATCAGATGAATAAATCAAGGATCTGTGTATACATTAAAGAAATGTTCAAATTTTCAGTTTTAGTTTTAAGAATGCGGTGAGGTAGAGTGGGTGAAAAAGAAGTGCAAATTCGCAATGTGCAAATTTATTAAAGAGCAAAACAGAGTGGAGTGTGGTTGGGACAGAAAACTATAAAGCTGACCGTTGCCTGTCCTTGTGAATATAAATACTACATCCCACCACTGGATAATTAATACAGTTTAAAAAGCAGCTGTGTGTAAAAGTCCTGCTGCAGCTTCTTCCCCAGCCTTTGGGCGGTGTATGTCGACATGTACTGCAGACGTGGCCTGTCGCTGTCGGGCTGTATCAGGCTCGCCCAGCAGGGGTCGCTGTAGTCAATACCCTGAATCGGTCACTGTTTACGGAAGTCCAAGTGACGTGTCACTGTCCAGCGAAGCATTGTGGGAAGGAAAGTGGAGCTGACGGCCGCTGATGGCAGACTGCTCAATTTGACGAATATCTTCGATAACTGAGCAGCGTTAGGAGACAGCTATACAGGGGAACGATGCTGTTTCACGGAGCTAGTGTCCACGGGCTGTGAAGAAGAAGAACATATGCCGGTGTCATCGCTGCTCTCCTGCGCAGGGGCGCTCGAAGCACAGAAGTGGGATACTGTGTCAATGGACCGCGGCGTTTTTATTTTCTTTCCCAAGGCAGCCGAATAAAGTAGCGACGGATTATATCCCCGCTGTGGATGGGTGGGGGGCGACTGCGCTCCCGCATTCCTTATCGTGTGAAGTTTCGTGAGATATCTGTCGAAGACGCCGTCAAAGATGTCGACCAGCAGTCCCGAAGCGGTGAAGAAATTGCTGGAGAACATGCAGACGGACCTGCGGTCCCTGTCCATGGAGTGCAAGAAGAAATTCCCTCCTGTCAAAGAGGTTAGCCGGCTAGTTAGCTTCACTCAGTCGTTACCCTGGTGTTCAGCAGCATGTCTCATGTGTGGATATGATGCTATATTCTCAATAATTTACATTTCACTGTACATATTTGCCTTTTTGAGCCCGTTCCCCCACCGTACTGGGCCTTTACTCTGCTGTGGGACGTGGACAGTGAGTTTCCTCGTACTGTACGGGTAAATTAAAAGTTGTGTCAACTGTTGGGCCTTCCTGCAAACCAGGCGTTCAATTAAAGGATTATACAGGTGTTTAAAATGGCCTGTGTCACATATGTGGTCAATATGGCTAATGTGAAGCATGCCCATAGTGCATAATGTTGAGTGTCTGCCTTTTTAAAGTTATAGTTCACCTAGTAGTTTTAATCCCCACTTAATGTGGTGCTGTAAAGGCCTGTCACATTATTGTCCAGCCATGGAAACATGGAGAAAACCGTAAAACTTCTGTTAAAAGCTTCGTCCCATTTAAATGCTTAGTTCCTTTTACATGCCCAATGTGGCTGCACATTTTGACACTGTCTCAATTAGAAGCCTGGTCTGGTTGCCAAGCATAATTTTTGTTACAGAAGTTCTTCGAATATATAACCAGGTTGTTTGCTACCTTTGAGCTAGATCTAATTAATGATTCATATCTGATACCTTATCTGAAGCCCAGTTTTTATACAAGTGATACTCATACTTGTTGACATAATTTGTATTTCCCATCTTTGCTGAACAACAGTGTTGTATTGAAGGAATTAAAGGCCTGCCCCAGATAAATTTAAGCAGATAATAGCCTGGGCTTTTAATTAAAGTTTTACTTTATGTCCCCCATATATGATCTTTTGCTAAAATGTCAATCTATCTAAGCTACACACACACATTTCCTCATTTGTGCACCATAAAATCTTTGAATTACCCTAAATAACTGTGACATTGCCTCCAGATATGCTGCTCCCATTTTCCAAAGCTTTGAGCGCTTTAGAATGTCCTTTCAGCCCTGTTATATGTGAGAAACCTGGGATGTATATCTCAGTGACTCCACTACTAAACTCAAAACACTTAGCTCGGCTATTTAAATACCACTAGTGAGGACATGCTTTCTGTGATTTCTGATAACCACCCACTTTGACTTTGATACCAGAGCAATGGAGCATTATTGAGTGAACAATACCTAGGTGAGCTATTTTTCAGCCATGTGTTTTGTTTTTGATAAGTGTCATGGAAGATCCCTGTTTGGCCCGTCTAGGATGTCACACTGCAAGTTGGTTTCACAAACAAGCTCGCCAGTGTTGACACAGTCAGGGACCGTTTCATATAAGTGTTTTGTTTTTCATATTCCTTGGAAGGACTTACTGTTTGCGGCTGGCTGCTGACTGGCATCGTTGTGTAGCAGTGCTGCTGACATCATGGCTTAGTTTAGGAACAGAGTAGTACAAGGAGGTGCAGCGTCAGAGCCTTATACAGTGCATGTGTATTGTTAGATTCAGATGGAGAACAGTCAGACCAGTTTTATGACTCCATTGTGACAACACAGCCAACTTTATAATATGTCCAGTAGTCCAGAGGGCAGGGTCAGAGTTCCTTTACATCTGTGCTGCATTTTCTTTTGAACCTTAATTTAATGGATAAAAGGTAAACACAGAAATTTGAGGCTGGAAAACACAACCTCCTTTCACTGTCCATCATGGTTTGACTGTGTGAACATATAGAAGCTATTCTATTATTTACCGGTCACTGAAATGCACACAGAGAGCAGCTAGTGTTTGCCAGTGTTATGTGATTTAAGTGACACCATCTCAGTCAGATCCTCTTTACCTTAACACCCTTTAATTCCCAGGTTTTAGCAAGCTCACTGTTTGCTTGCATATGCAACAGTGCTCACAGAGGTCATTAGATGAAATGCTGTACTGTACCTATGGGGCTTTTGAGGCCAAGGAAATCTTCGTCAGCCGGCCCAGCGGGGCAATACATATCAGGATATGTTGGCTTAGTTTGTTTTCCCTCAGGTCTCACCTTGGTTAAAGACAACATTACAGTAGAGAGAGCAAAACAGTCCAGCAAGTGCTTTCAGTTCATATGTCTCAGTCATTGCACACAGCACACATCTGGTCTCACATCTCTGGCTGCTCGCTGGCCCTTGCCTAGGGGCTTTGTGAAGCATCTTCTTTAATATTGATTTGTCACCACCCATGTTTCTTGGTTCTTATCAACATCTTTCCCTCGGGGATCGCAGCAGTGCAGGGGAGCCACTTTGATGCTGCCCACAACCTGAGCTCACTCACGCTCGGCTTGATAGTGTTGTGATTGGAACAACCTTTTCCAATTTGAGCCGTCGTGGTTATATTTGCAGAGATGTTATTGTGCCACAAACTAGCTGTGTAGCGGTGGCTGTGGTTGTGAATTCAAATTGTTAGCGTGCCTGTTGGAGCACACAAATGTAGTCCTCGCTCTGTCCGTTCTTGGACTGTGATTACTTTTCAAGAATTTCATTTTTTTCAACAGAGCTCTGCATTTGCTGCTCAGACATTTTAAGTGAATTACTGTCATGTAATAAGTGTTGCATCCTTACTACAAAAAGACCGAGGCCCTGGCCCATGTACATTCCAGTTCCTCCCCCATTTCCCAATCCATCTCCCACAGAGCCATTGTGCCACAGCCAGTGGTTTTCCAGGGTTAATAGGAGCCAAGAAGAGTCCCATTGATTTCCCTGCATCATAGCATCACACTCAGAAGCTCTGTTTCACTGAGCAGCAGTCAGTGAAACCACCAAGACTTTGCTGTTTGTGTTATGATTGCTTTTGCCCAGGTGTAAAAAGAAACCATCAAGCAGTCAGCCCTCAGCTCTCTCAGTGGATCAGTCAGGTGCTGTCAGCTGCATGTGGCTCACAGTGAAAAGTGACTGCTTGTCTTGGGAAAACCTGCAGAATTAATGAAAGCATTATGGGCAACCTTTGTGTGGCTCGCTTAGCACAACTCATTTGTCAGACAGGTCATGTAGGCTGTACAGAGATGAAGCCGAGAGCAACATGGAGTGAGGATTTGGTGAACTGACACTATTACACTGAAACTCTGACTGAATAAGCCCCTTTTCATAATATGCCAAGTCAGTTCCAGAAAACTGCTGAGTTTATAGACTCACAGCATGTTTCTGAGGAAGTCGATCTGTGATGAGCTTCACTAATGTTGCTTTTCAAAGAAATGAGCTGGCACTCAGACGTGGGTCAGTTCCGCTTTGAGGATCTCCTCACAAAAAAGGCCCCGGAGAAGAACTGAGAGTACTGAGCACTTACTGATACGGTCTGGTTCTGACATCGTTTGTGCAGCAGAAAGCAGTGTTTAATGCCCTGTTTCTACTCAATATTGAGATTTTAAAATAATTTTTGTCCAGGATTGTACAATGCTGTATCGGTCCCTCTGCAGTCACAGTACATTTTCTTAAATGTTTGCATCTATACAATTCTAAGATATTAGCATACTTAATATACTGTACATCATTACATGATTAGATTTACTGTTAAATATCCACTGTGCTGCACTGTAGGGCTGAACAATTTTTAGAATTATATCTAATTGCGATTATTTTGACTGACATTGCGATTGCTGTATGATTTGCAGCATTAGAGGGAAGGATAATTTCGACGTCATTGTTGTCACTTTTATTGATAAACATATTAAAATGATTATGGTGTGATTTTCGCGGTGATCTGTACCAGATTTTGGTATCAAATACCAAAAACAGTGCTTTTTCAGTTGGTTTTATAAATATAAACAAATCCCCTTTCACCATTTTAATAAATTATGCCAGACATCTCAAAATTGGATAGGTATAATTTATTTTTGTCTTATCACAAGCAGCCCTAAAATAGTCAAGAACTGCAACAATTTATCCATTCGTTGGTCAACTATTGAATTTACTGACTAACTTGACAATAGATTAATCGAGTTTCTTAAATGTGAATTTTTTTTCCTGTTTTCTTTACTCCTCTATTCTAGTAAACTGAATATCTTTGGGTTGCAGAAAAAACAAGATATTTAAAGATGCTATTGTGGGCTTTGGGAAACACCATTTTCTGACCTTTTTATAAACCGAATGACCAATCGTGAAAATACTTGATGGATCAATCGACAGCCTTAAAATAGTCTAAAAACACAAAGTTATCTAGGTCAAGAAATGTCAGATTAAATCTCAAGAAGCTGACCAAGCATGTAACGCCAACTTTCTACTTTTGACATCCTGCTACAGAGTAGTGCTGCACGATTTGGTAAAAATGTGCGATTGCGATTATGGTGGACAATATCGCGATTTGCGATTGCAATTACAATATAATTACAATAAAATGTAATAAATAAATGGTATCATGAGTCTTTTTGCTTGATTCAGTGTTTCTCCTACATTATATTAGGGGGGCACTGACCTGACATAGTTTTTGTTATGGACAGACAGTGAGTCAATGACCATCAACGGACTGAGCACAGTCAAACATGCTGCTCACACAGCAGCGCAGCACGGCACTGTACACACAGCGGAGCGAGCATATGTTGCGTTCAGGCGTTGTCACGTAAATGACAAATTCCAGCGTCATAGCACAACACAGCAGCATGTCAAGTGGGCCGAAACCAAAAATTTTTCATTTGTTATGGAGTCCATGATTTCCCTGTGACACTTAAAAATGTTTGCTTAACTGTGCTTGGATGTTGTTTTATGAGGCTCTGGCGGCTTTCAGTTGTCTCATTGTCTTTGACGTTACGCGGCTTGGCTTTCTCTCGCATGCACTCTTCCTACTTTTCCCTGTGCTGTGCTGTCTCAAGTGTTGTCATAGACTGGTCGTGTTGTCGCGGGACGTGGCGACTTTAACTTATAAACTTTTACACAGCACATCTTTCAGGTACGGCGACGTTGGACAGAAAGACGTGCTGTGTTAAAGTTTAAAAGTTGAAGTCCCCACGTCCCGTCTCGAGTGCTGATATAGATTGGTCGTGTTGCCGCGGGACGTGGCGACTTTA